GCAAGACTTCTTCATATTGTCTTGACTCTGCTTGCGTGACTTTTATATGAAAATTACGAGTGTGATTCTGTGTACCAAATAATAGAAATATATTGTGCAGTCATATTTTGAAACATTGTATTTATTTTTTGACGCGACCAAAGAGAATATATATATCAAGCAAGTTAAGATAACAATTCCGTTTTACTGCATTTATCACTTCGGATTCTCTTCGTGCCAAAAATATCATCAATCTCGCCAGAAAAAATTGTCCTACAATTTCAAGTTATAAAGTTAGATTCCGCATATTTTTTCAAATCCCTCAATATGCTGTGAAGACTTCGTGGTATATGAAGAGAATTGGAGAAAAATTGCTCACGATTCATTTTATTTTCTGTTCCGTAGTATCACACCATTAGTCTAAATACCGTATTATAAGCATGGTTTCGAACTTTTGATTCGTTCTTCATATTTCAACATGGAATTCAATCCTTTCTTCTAACATGCCTTTAAATTTTGCAAACCTTCGTATAACAGGCACACGTGCAAAAAGTATATTCTGGAGACCACCTAATTTCTTTTTTAATTCGCAGCTTTATACAAGCTTGTATTACGATTGCTAGCAACTATACGCATTGTGAATTTGTGACATGAAAATTTTCCGATACCAGAAATACAGTTTATAGAACAAATGAGGGCTAAAAAGTTGCTTGTTCTGCCAATGCCAAATCATGCAAAATAATTTAGAAAACATTTGACTTCAACACACGGCGGACGTGCCCCATGATTTATCAGGCGGGAAAACGGCACAATGTTGTCCTCAAGTTGACCTCAGAACGAGTCCATATCTTCTGGTTACTTTGGGATCGTAGGGCAAACAAGGGGTGAGTTTATCTCATTTCGTCAATTTTTGCTGGTAAACTTTGGCATCCTTTGACCTAAATTGCTTTGAATGTATGGTCGAAGGCAAGGATATTGAATCAAGAACAGGCTAAGACTCTTTCAGAAAACATGGCGTTGATTCAATTTTTCGAAAGAAATACTATCCGAAACACGAAAAACTGATTGTAAAATTTATTACATGGAAAAAATGCTTGGAAATGCAGTAATTTTTTGTTTGTATCCTCATCTGCGACAACTCTATTTCGGTCCAAAAGAAATTTAAAGCAAACGCCTTATTTCTTCAGAAAGAAAATGCAAAAGCCAATATTCATTTGCATGTTTAAAATAAAACATAAAAAAGTAAAATTCTCTTCGAAAGAGGATTTTGTCATGAATTGATTTTTCACTTTTCCTTTTTGATATTTTTGACGAATAGATTTCATTTTTGAAACACTAAATTCTAATACATCGCGACTGCTGCATTTATCTAATCCAGGTAAAGCTCATTTGTGGATCAAATTTAAGAATTCTATCATTAACCACGAGCACTTCATCTTCAGACTACTGTATTTGATCGAAATTAAATGCTGTTCTTCGAATGATGTCAAAATCTCCCAAAGTTTAAACGCGCAAGATGTGGTAATTGCGTCGAAATTTTGCCTATCTGGGTAATATTTCTGCTCTGTCGAAGGTTTTCTCCACAAAAAAATTATGGGAATTGAGCAGTAATATATTTCAGACTTTAGAGCTGTGATTAGACAAGTGATCAGAGACTTGTTTCAAGTATTTATGGATTCCGCAGTGGTTCATTCAGTCCACTCCGGTATATTTATCTGCTGCAGTCGAAGAACATCTTGAGCTTTACTGTCAAAACTCTTGATTCTTGAACCATTCCTCGAAAATTTATTTCAGAGGAATCAAAGAACAGAATAAAAACGAAAAAAAGATAGATGATAGAATTCCCTTCACCTATTTTTTCAACAAAAAAAAGCATATTCTGGAAGAAAAATATGGCCCATTTACCGAGGAGATGAGGCGGAAGCTCGGGTACCTTTGGCGAACCCGGGTTCTCCTCATGCATCAAAAAATCCCCAAGGGCCCTTTTCTCACACTCCGTTTGCATATCAACTCCGCAGACATTCTCCGAAAAGTATAAAGATATCGAAACATAAAATAAAGAATGTCCGGAGATGTTCAAGAACCCAGCCCAGCAATCACGAACCCGCGGCGAACTGCTGGGACGCGTTTATCCGCTTGACATGGTTTTTTTTTCCTATCCATGTGTGTTATCTTGAGCACTGCTGTATATATATATAATGCCATCACTATATTCTTCTGATGAAGAAAAAAAGAACCCCACTTATTGAATAAGTGGGGCAAGTACGAAAGGAGAACAAGTACGATGACGGCGGTATAGTGATATGGGGTTTCACGATGTATAGGGTGTTTCAGGTTGAATACCCAATTATTTGTTCCTCTCTTTCAGGGTTCATAATGAAATTATGAACCCGGAGTTACGAAAACTGCGTACTTTTTGCTTAACTACTGTACATATTTTGCGACTTGGCTTCAAAGGCGATTGGTGTGGTTTATCGTTAGTTTTCTTGCCCTGTTTTTTTCTTGATTATGATAATGGTTTGCCCTGAAGGAAACCTTGTTGACGTAGGTTGCTTAGGGGGTACTCAAATCGTCGAACCCTTTTCCGCCAATGATTTTAGCTTTTTTTTTTGTTTAGCTTACTGACTGTTTGTTTGTGCGGCGGACATCCATGACTTGAGGCAAGTGAACATCTCAAAACATTATGGAAGACATATCTTCGTGTTTCGATATCTTTGAATCATAATCTTCGACGGTAATGGGGAAGAATATCAAGAAAAATACAGATCCGCATGTGTCTCAGATGTTTGTTTACTGTCAGTCAGTACTGTATATAGATCCGGGAGTAGTGTTTCTGTAAATCTCTTTGAATATTGTATTTCTCGATTGTTTTTGAGGTGGGGGCGCGGAACATTCAAATTATGATTTAATCATATCTCAAAATCCCTGCTTCTCTAAAAAAAAAAAGTGGTACTGTACTAAGTTTCGAGAACCTCAAGCCAGAAAAATTTGCATCCAGCACTTCACAAAAACTATTGAACATTATCAGGACCCAAGAAAATAAAACATTACACTGTAAAAGTGTAGTGGAAAGATGAAAAAGTGTTGCTTGATGCCAAGAAAAATATGTGTTCAAGGGACACATTAAAACTATGTAAAATAGTTTTTTTCTGGATATTTTCGTAAATTATTTGATGACAAATAAATGAAACTATTCACAAGGAACACTGAAGACACTAGGCTGGTTTTTGAAACAAATGTGTGCATAAATCCAAAGCCAAACACAGACATACAAATTTTAAAGATATAATAGAAGGAATAACAAAATAACAGTGATAATTCTCAGTCAAGGTTGTGTGTTGACTGCTTTTTAATCACTATCAAAGTTTTGAAAGGAGAGTAAACTTTCATTGGGTTTTTCAAAGTGCAATCTCTGTCCACAGCCAACATTTTGTACATGGTTAAGCCAAGTTCAATTTAATTGAAAGAAGCATGTGACGCCATTTTCCACTAGTATTTGTCGGTCATTGCCAATTGAAAGCCTTTCTTTTCTATGTATTTTGCCAGTGTATTTCCGCATCCCATGGTCTGGAGACTGATGGCGCCAGTCCACTGAATTTTTTTGCTGGTCCACCGGAAATGTTATTCAGCAAAATAAAATTATCAAAAGTTGCAATAAAGTATAATATCTTTATTTGAAGTTTCAAAAAGACAATGGCAGTTGAAATTAAATGATGAAAATTAATGCTCACATTTTCTCCTTATAACACCTCAGACAAATTTTCAAATGGTGAAAAAATGAAGTTTCACCCTTTCCCTTTGATGGGTGGGAAGGGGGTTTGGTTGTGGAAATCTTGATTGAACCTTGTGAACGCTTAAAAGCGGCAAAGAAAGTGTTCTGTTCATTCATTCATTCAAATGAAGTTAATTTTTCATTCTGAGTAACCTTTTTTCAAGCTCACCTTTCTGATTTTTTNGAAGAAATTTCACCATAGCTGCTTCTTCATTATTCCTTCACTTGAAATTTTTGCAAAGAGCAGAACATTTTTAAATACCCAATTCCACCACCATACAGTCTTTCAGACAAAACTTATCTGAGTCTGCAAACATTTCATGAAACTTTGCTGGTCCAGCAATTTTTTTTTCGGAAATTTACCGGTCTGCAAAAAATTTTGTGGAAATTTGCCCGTCCGTGGGCCCAAAAAGGTAGAGGAACACTTTACTACGCATATGGGTCACACATATCCGTGTCACGAACCCCGGAGCTCTTTTAATACGTATTTCAGACCCCGAAAGCGATTTTGATTGATCACGAATTTATTGAATTTTGCCTGAAGGATGAACGTGGACGGATGATACGACGTACGATCATGAGGTACGTCATCCTCGGGATTTCTTATTCCATGACGCTCTTCAGCATCAACGTGAGAAAGCGTTTCAATACCCTCGAAGACTTCGTGAGCTTTGGTAAATTCATTTCCTTCAATTTATATTTGGATAATTTTGAAGATACAGTATATCCAGCCAATTAGTGTATCAAGGATTACGGGTGCAATCATGCATTGCATTAATTGGTTGACGCCTCAAAAATCCCAAAATCTGAGCAGTTTGTCGACGAATGATCAATGGAAAGCGAGATTTTATTGAAATACATTTAAGTAAAAATTTGTTGCGTTTCTTAAATCTTCTCCCGAACTTTTGTCCGTTATATATTTTTTCAATCTGGTCTACTCTTCGGGTCGTCTACGGATTTTACAGGCTACGCTGATATCTTGATGACTATCAGCAGTAAAATCTAACGAAAAATATATTAAAATGCATCTTTTCGACACGATTTTAAAAATTTTACTGGATCTTACTGGTGACAGCATCGCAAATTCATCCGGTTTCAAATTTCGCTCATGGTTCAGCCTATTTCAGCTAAACTTCATCTGCAGGCTTGGTTTTAATTTTATTGTGAGCCTACTTGAAACATTTTAATGTCCATTTATGAAGAGAGAATTCAGATTCGCTTTTTGCCGCAGAAAAGCTCTTCTTGGAATAGCACGACATCTCAATCATTAAATAAATTATGTAAATTAGATTTAGCATCCCATAATTTTTTTTGCTCGAGTTGGGAAATTATTTCTGAGAATTCATTCAAGTATATTTGAACGTTGATAGGAGTTTGGTCGTCGGGCTAAAAATCAAGCTTGGCTCGGATTTATGCAAACTTTGAAATTTCGCAGAGGATTCATGTCATTCGTTTCTTATCGAAGGTTTATTGGAAGAGGACGAGATTCCAATCATCAGAAAAATGGCAGAGAAGACGCAAAAGGTTTATTGGCTGCCTCTGGTGTGGGCAGGAACCATGACAGCGACAGCAAGAAAAGAAGGTAGAGTTGAAAACGACCTCGCCATGAAAACTATCCTTGACGAAATTGTCAAACTGCGACTTCTTTGCGCAAAATGCAGCTCCATGGTCATGGTCAATGTGCCGTTATCTTATTCCCAGGTAATTTCCATTCATTTCTTGTACTGTACATGTATATTTCGACTTTTTTTCGATTTTGCTTTCGATTTTTTTTTTACAACCCTATTGGTTATATATTGTATACGGACAAGTGCTACAGAAATCGAAAAAATGTATTATCGAACAAACTGCAGACAATTTTGCTGTTTTGGTATTCAGGCTTTGTTGATGCTTTGAAAATTAATCATGATTTTTTAGCAAAAAAGTAAAAATGAATTACTGTACAAGGTGTTCATCAATTACTGTATTTGATAGATGCGTCATTCGTATTTTTTGATTTTTGACATTGTGTGCTGTGGCTAGCCACGAAAGTGAACTTCATTTTTTCTTCAGTTCTTTCGACATTTTGTTCAATTACGCAAGTACACATGCAATGGCTCATTGGAATCGGGTTTATTTTCATAAAACTACAGTAAATTTAGTTCATCAGCTTGACATTATTTTTGAGAACTGCATAGAATAAAAATTAATTGGACGAAAAAAAAGATTTCCTTTTGAAAATTTTAATGAATTGGATCTGACTTAAAATACAGCATATGAGTGATTGACTTTTCCACGGTCTGATGTTCTACGGCCTCCGATTACTATTTCCAGATCACTTCCAGTAGAGCCCCGAAAACTTAAATTTTATTCAAAATAATGCTTGCGGGTGCCTATAATTCGTTCACGATTTGTAAGTCATTTTTTCAGCACTCGGTACGCTGAGAAATGACAATTTTTCAATCAAAAACGGAGTTCTATAGTACATTCTCAGCGTGCACTGAGCGCGGGCAGTTGACAAAATTGTTTGACCAAAAGAAAAATCTACCGAAAATTTAGAAAAATGCATGATACATTGAAAAAAATTGGTTATAGTAATGGAATTATAGTGATATTTGTCAAATTCCCCCTTTTTGCAACTTGTCTGCTCACTGATAAACGAATGCATTTCTCTGGATTTGTTTGGATAGTTTTTCGTCCTCGTTCAAAAAAGCTGAAGAATTCATTTGAAATTCTGAAAAAGTTTGTAAAACACACAAACAAAATTCAAAGGATTCAAAAGAGAATACGATTTTTGAGATTCTGCAATAGTGCTTTTCACATACCCGACCCGGGCCTTATTGTGCAGTCCTTATTGGAAAACGATTTCAACAAGAGTGTTCAACTGCATAAAGTTCACTAATTTTATTTTTCGATTTCGACCTGTATTTTCTCATGCTGATTTTAGCATTAAATATGCCTTCAATTTTTATTGCTCAATCTGGAAAACGAGTGGCGTCATGATATTGAATTCTTGAGCTTCATCCAACGATTTCCTAGGGGATCAGCAAGTTTGATAAATTCATGAATAGTAATGAAGTAACGCTTTCCTGCAAGCCTGATTTTAATCGCGTACTTTCATTCGAGGAACTGTTCGAAGAGTACAGTATTCGTATTTTTCTAAAACAAAAAAAGGCAGGAATAAATTTATTCAACGACCTAATCACTTAATATTAGGAACAAATTACGTGACTTTTTCGAGGTTCTCGGGCTAAAAATATATCTTCCAGAAGATTTTATTTTCATTCTACAATATTTTTTCTCGATTCACTTCTAAATCACGCTCACATTGACGGAAGAAAGAAAGCTTTTTTTCGGGTTTCTGAGGTAGGAAAAAGTTATTTTGGGACATTTTCATTCGTACTTTTCAATCTCACTTTCATTCTTATCGCATTCTCCATATACTGTAATTATAAGCAAGATTTGTTCCATTTTTTCTTTCTCGATTCACTTCTAAATCACGGAAGAAAGAAAGCTTTACTTGCGGGTGGGATTCTCAGGTAGGAAAAAAGTATTTTGGGACATATTCATTCGTATTTTTCAATCTCACTTTCATTCTTATCGCATTTCTCCATATATTGTAATTATAAGCAAGATTTGCTCATTTTTTTCTCGATTCACTTCTAAATCACGGAAGAAAGAAAGCTTTACTTGCGGGTGGGTTTCTCAGGTAGGAAAAAATTTTTTTGGGACATTTTCATTCGTACTTTTCAATCTCACTCTCATTCTTATCGCATTTGCCATACAATTACAAGCAAGATTTGTTTTCATTTCTTTTTTCATCATCAGGTGGTGACGTGGGCGGTTTACGGCTTCTTCGCAGCATGTCTCATTGGAAGGCAATTTGTGGCCGGAGATTCCGATATTTACGTACCGGTGTTTACCATCCTTCAGGTACATGGTGAAAATCATCATTTATTGCTTCCACGAAGCCGGAATGCCTGATTAGATAAGGCACAATGTTCGACATACGCTTCTGCTGGGTGCCCAAGGGAATAATTCGAATGTATCGTCTCCAACATGAGATATTTTTTCTGAGAATATTGGACATTTGATTTATCATCCATCTGTTTGATGCCCTTCCGAAAATAAGAAACGTGATTGATAGTTTTTTTTTTTTTTACTCGGTTTCCACTTGTGTCAATTTTTTGGGGGTGGAAGTTAGCTTTTCCAATGAAAATTGTATTCTTTGATTTGATTTACGAAATTATCCCTGATAAATGAAGATTTCGGTTTTGAAAATAAATTTCCACCGTTTATATTTGACACTTATGAAACCTCAAAGTCTATAATTCCCATGTATCTCACACGTACGTCAGCGTTAAATTTTCAACATTTTCCAATTTATATTGGCCCAGGTATTTGGGAAAAGAATTCTGAGCGTAACATAAGCAGAAAATTAAGATATTTCTTGCATGCGCAAAATCTTTCGACTCAAGAATAGTTTCATGAATTTGTCCAAGTATTGTGATCATTCATTCGATATTTGCACTTTTTGTTATCAAATCTGCAATAAATAAAATGTTGAGCCTAAAATAGCAAAGGCGAAACCCCTCGTTATGTTAAACTTGATCATTCTTTACGACATGTTTGGTTATTTAAACAGGCCTTTTCAGGTATTAGAGTGCTGAAAAAATTCTCGATTTCGAGTGCCGTTGATGTCAGTAGTTTCTGTGAGGTGTATCTGTTCCGTGCCGGAAGTTTGGTGGATTTTAAGGGAAAATGTTAATTTCAGCCGAAAATATTGATTTAATGTGGTGGAAGAAGGAATGTGAAGTACATGAGAGGATTATGGGAAAAACCAGCAGCATCAGGGAAACGCGCCAGCGACTCAATGCGTGGAAGAATTAATGTACGCGATACTTGGTGGATAATTGCTGTGGTAGGAATTCAGGTAATGCTTCCTAATGATCCTCGTCTCTTCTGCTTCTCTTTGCCTCAGTTCCTGGTTTATATGGGATGGCTGAAGGTCGCCGAGGCATTAATCAATCCATTCGGCGAAGATGACGACGATTTTCAGCTCTTAACCCTGATTGAGCGAGGATTAGAGGTTAGTGCCATTCCCGTGTGACTTTCGAAAGAAAAGCCAAAATAATGAGCTTTCTGCATCTTACGAAAAAGGCATAATAAGGACCTTGAAAAAGTATTTATGATCCTGTATTTAAAAATTTGGCCGTAAGGGAGCTGCTGAAATAAAACTGAGGCTTAATTGAGTGTACAGCAGTACCTTGACATAATTTGTCAACAGGAAAGGCTTTGTTTTTATGATAATCGCTACACAAAGATGTGATTTTATTCAGCTAGTCGGAAAATATTTCGGTGGCATGGCACGCAGTTGTTTAAGAAATTAAATGTATTTTTGATTTGGTGTATTTTGATTTTTGTGCTATTTTTTATTCAGAAGCTAAATCATGTTTAATTTTTACGCAAGCTATAACAAAAATTCTATAATTAGTGCACATTTTCTGTCCTTCAAATCTTAAAGATGCTCATGCTCTTTAATGCTATAAATTTTATTCCGCGAAGAAAGTGCTGTTACAAATTTTTATTTTCGAAAAATCTGTAATTTATTCCACGTGAAGCCTGATGTTGGTCGTATATAGGCACTGTTTACTTTGTCCTCTGTGATGACATTCAAGCGCATGGTTTTATTTTATTTTTGGGCATTTTGTAGTTCTCGTCACTTTTTCTTTGCCTGTGTTTCACAAAACAATATTGACAACATTGTTTTCATTTTCAAAAGTACCTGGTATATGAGCCCAAAACCTGCGATTCAGCATCTCCATGCATGGGTGGTTCTTCATCACGTGGAACATTTGAAAAAAGAAATATGAGTAGATATTTCTGGAAAACCACCATCGAGAAACCATCTATAGGTTTCGATCTTCGGATGAGATACCCTGGGTTTCATTTCCGACTTATTTCATGCCACGTCAGATAAGATAAGCAGCATCAATGTATACTTCGAGCGTTTGAAGGATATTTCCCAAATCGGTTCTTGGGGTATATTTGAAAAACTACGCAGTGGACAAATCGCATTAGGTTTGGTAATGTCCATTACGAATGTGCATGAACGAATTTCATGCCAAAAAAAAAGCAGAAGTTGCAGCACTTCATTTCATTTCGCTCTCGAGGAAGTGTTCGACGATGAAGAAAAGTCGGATATTCCATCTCAGAATCAATTCTAATTCTACTCAAAGAAAACTTTTCCTGAACTTCCTGAAAAACACCAGAAAAAAAATATTATTGTCAGAAATACTCGGTGGACAAATCGCAGTCGGTTTGGCGATGTCCAATCCGAATGAGCATGAACCAATTGGATACAAAAAAATTTCATTTAATTCACTTTCGTTTTTCCGAAAGTGATCGACGAGGAAGAAAAAGCCATTCCGAATGAGCATGAATAAATTTGATGCCAAAAAAATTGCAGAACTTAATTTACTTTCGTTTTTCCGAAAGTGATCGACGACGAAGAAAAGGCGGATAATATTCCATCTCAGATTCAATGCGAGCTCCACGCAAAGAAATATTTTTTTTAAAGTTCTGAACAACACCAGAAAAAAATAAAATTGTTAGAAATGCTCAGTGAGTCAGTGGACAACTCGCAGTCGGTTTGGCGATTTCCATATCGAATGTGCATAAACAAATTGCATGCCAAAAATAAATTATAGCACTTCATTTACTTTCGCTTCAGAAAGTGATCGACGAAGAAAAGGCGGATAATGTACAGTATTCCAGCTCAGATTCAATTCGAATTCTCCTCAAAGACAACTTTTCCTGGAGTTTCTCGACAACACCAGCAAAAAAAAAAGTTTTATTTCGACCTGAAAGAGACCGGATTTACACAGCAAAAGACCTCCTTCCGACCGGTTTTTTACCGCGGGAAATTGCTGGGCGGTCTTCCGGAAGTCCGCAGGAAGAAGTTTACCCCACGACGTTATCGCGGAAATATTATATCACTTCCGTTATCATGGGTGTGAGCGGGGATTTCATCAATGACGACACAAAGGATTCGATGGATGAAGGGGTATGCGAATGATGTTCATTGTTGGGTTGTCGGGGTTTTCACGGCCGGAATGGGTGCCGGAAATTTTTCGGTCGAATTTAGGCAAAAGTTGCGGCGACCTGATGGGTCTAAAAATCAGAATTAGGTAAATCACGTCAAGGAAACCCCACATTTTCTAACGCGTAATATGCGCACTACAGTACACTGTCAGTTATGTTACTCGTCTATTTATTCGTCGTGAATAGAAAAGTTTAAGTGATTTCTTTTCCAACGAATGTGAGCCGTGTTTTCATTTAATTCTCGATTATTGAAATCTCTGGAAGTCCGCTGACTTTTTTTTATCTCAATTTTAGTTGCCGGACGAATGTATTCAATACCACTTCAACTAGCAATTTTAACTTGGTCGCTTTGTCATCTTAATTCAAAATGGTAGTGGGACTTAGTTCAGGTGAATTTTACACGACTTTTTGAAAACATCTTTTGCCTTTGCAACGTCGTCGGTGTGAACACCCGCCCGTTTTTGAGGAATTATAATGAAAGAAAAAATCTGTAAACTGCACGTGTTTCAAAATTTGTGGGTTTTTACTCAGTTGAGATAATGAAGGGCAGTAAATGAGAAAATCTGAGCAAGCGTTATTTTCAGTAGAGTTAAAATTAATGATTTCCTATTGGCTGTTGATGCTTCGCAATAGGTTGAATCAATCCGTTATCAAGATCAGCGGTATTGTTTTCTCTAAAGAATAAAGGGTCAAAGTTTGTTGCCCGAAACAGCTTTTACTGATTATTTGATGGGATAATTAATTTTTAAAATAAATTTAGCGAATTCTCAGGAGAAATGTACTGGTCACCAGAAAGGAAGAATTTCGTAGAAGATACATCATCAGAGCAAAATTCTGGAAAATTACCTTGAAAATTCAAATTTTAAATATTTCGGGAAGTTTGACCTTCGGATTATGCCCCACAAGCAAAATACTTACAAACATTAAGAAACAACAATGATTTTGGCAACCAGAGGAGCAAACATTTTTGCAAGGTTAACCGGTAAGTCGTCACAGAGATACAGAAATTGCCAGAAAAATATCTCAGAAAGTCATAATTTAAAGATTTCATGTCTCACGAACAATATTTTTGAAACTTGACTTGAGAAACGGCAATTATGCTCTTGGCAATCGAACGAGCAGCAGTTCTTGTAGGGTCAAACACAGCAGATGATACATAAGTTTTCAGAGAAATGTCTCGGAAATTAATGATTTCAGATTATGTCCCAGAAATAATATTTTTAAAAAACTTGAGAAAAGTCTGTGCTCTTGGCATCAAACGAAGATGACGCTTTTTTAATGATCAACTGGAGAGTCATCCAATAAATTACTACATATTACATACACATCTTTTCCGATAAATACTGTACTTCATGCCTCAGGAAGTCATAATTTTACACTAGGTCCCACAAAAACTACCCTTTTGAAAATCTCGAGAAAACATGCAGCTCTTTAAACAGATCTTTTATAGCAGCCAGAGGAGCAGACGTTTAGCCGATGCTCAACTGATGGATGCTTATTCAATCGATAATATGGCCATGGACTCTAAAAACGGCTATAATGAAGGGACACGTGACTACAGTATTCAGTACATCTGAGGTATTTCTGCACGATTGACTGGAAGGGAAAGCAGTTAGTTGCCAGTGGGTTGGTCATTCCAAATGAGGGGAATATACAGTATACAGTACAGTACTATATATATACACGACGAGGGGTTACACGGTTCTGCGCGGATCAGCTTGTTACTGCTATTCTGGGGAAGCTTCAAAATTTATAAGGATTTTTATTTCAGGGCCTCTTTCAGCACATGGGTAAAAAGGGCTGAAAAGTGTGTACAAATTGGTAACGAATACAGTGAGAAAGTGTCTGCCTAGCCTTTTCAAATTAGTGAACATGAGGCAAATGTTTAAGAAATCCTTGATGTTCATTTAAGTCCGTGCAAAAACGTGTAACCCCTTGCATATAATGGGGGTAACCCGTTTCCGCGCGGAAACGTGTAACCCTTTCCATATGATGGGGGTAACCCGTTTCCGCGCAGAAACGTGTAACCCCTTGCATATAATCGGGGTAATCCGTTTCCGCGTGGACTTGGTTTGCTGGACATTATGTATAACCAGCGCATTGCACATAACCGCGCGGAAACGCGTAACCTGTGAAACTAATCTAAAAAATTGTGGTTACATTACTTATATATAACGTTACACGTTTCCGCGCGGTTATATGCAATGCGCTTTTCATGTATGATGTCCAGGAAACTAAGTCCGCGCGGAAACGTGTAACGCGGACTTGAATGAATATATATTTATATGATATCCAGGAAACCCGTGTACACGAGATGTTCCATCATGCGTCGAACTTGGGCATGATGGAAGTGAGAGCAATTTAAACTCGACATCCCCTCGCTTGAGGCAACGGGTTATTATTGACGCCTGGAATACATACCTACTTGCGGAAATATCGACAACTGGAATGCCCTTCTCCCATTCCGGACCACTTCCTCTTCTTCCCTTCGTACTCCTTTTTTATTTTTCTGTTGTGGTTCGTATTTCCTGTTGAAATCCCACAGGTTTCCCGAGCGAGCGAGCAACATCAATGTTGAGACGAATTATCTGTTCTTTTCTGTGCTTCTGTGCTTTTTTATAAATCTCCAAGACTGGATATATTCGGAGGGAAAACGACGTGCACCAATCGGAATATTGTATTCCCTTGACGACCGAGTTGTAGAAGTTATTTCATGAATGCATACGCTTCAAAACAAAAGAACATACTACAACGGAACATTCGTAATGTCAAAGAAAACTATGTATAAATGCGTGTGATTTTCTTTTGGTATATTATTGCTGGGTATATTTCGTTCCTTTTGTAAGGGATGGCAGAGAAAATCCTTGAGTGCGTAGTCCATGCTTTCATGTACAGTATATACCTGAGATTGAACATATCGTTCTTTGCAAGTGTTTTTTTTTAGAATAGTTTCAGTAAGATGTAAGTATAAGAGAGCTACAGGAAAACCTCGTTACAATGAAGCTGTTTAGACTGCGAAAAAGCTTTGATGAAGTGCTAAATTTGTTGTGAAGATATTAGAATAAAATTATTATTTCACGGGGATCCACATGGAAAACAAATACTAGTTTTAACTTTTAAGCTATCTGTAATTCGTTACGATGGGATAACGTTTTAATTTATTTCAATTTGGCGCAGATCTTTCGTGAATTCTTTTCTGCTCTCGAAATTAATTTTTATGAATTGAATGAAAAATGATTATCTTCGAAGTTCTTCAATATTGCTGAGATCACACGCCGAAATCATTGTTTTTTTCAGATAAATACAAGAAACAACTCTTGCAATCAAAATCAGCAAATCTAAATTTTGATTATATACTCACGAGGAATAATTTCTCCTGATAATTTCGAAAGAGTCGCCCGCTGTTTTGCTTACTTTTCTT